TCCTGCATAAATGCAAGATGTGTTACAAATACAAGCAATAAAGGAAGTCAGTAAAGGTCCAAAGCGTGTCCAACCTTTTGGCTTGCCTGGGCTGCACTGACTTGGGCTGCATATACACAGGTTGCATCAAAAGTAACACCACCTATTTATTTTCATAGAAGCTATAAAAGATATGAAAAGCACAGTAACTCTGACAGAGCAAGTTCTCAGCTGTAAAATACTATTTTTCAGCATACACACCACCATTAGCTGTGCATTTTTGCCAGTGATAAACAAGAGCCTGCAAGCCATGCTCGTCAAAACCTGCACCAGCAGAAGTGACCCATGGTTGCTGTTGCCACTTCTGAAACACACCACCTGCTCTCTCTCTGTGTGCTCACATCCACTTGTTGGTCTCTATCAATATTCAGCAAGTGTCAGTGAATGTCTATGGGTGCCATTTTTTCTTCATGGAGGAATTAAATTCTATACCTTTGCTTCATCTGCACTTCTGTGTCAGATATCATTCTGTCAGACTGCCTCTCTGCTGCTACCTGTCATACAGCAACATAGTTTAACAGCACACGTGTTGGAAGGTTCCACCTCTACTACCATACCACTAACATCTGCCTCTGACATTGTAGGCCAACATAATAAAAGAGGAGGCATTACTTTCAAAGCAGCCTTCATAAAATATATACTATAGTTAACGTATATAAATAATAAAACTTATTTAAACTATTAATATTTTTATTGAAACATTTAAAAAAGAGAGAGTAACAAAGTCATAAAACTAGTGGGATATTTGATCTTGTTTTTCTGAAACCAACGCATCAGTCTGGTAGGAGGGCAGTGGTTGCAATTCTTAGTGAGTTTTGCAGGTGTTCATCAGATGAAATTTTGCTATTGCAGTGATTCATCCTTCAAAATAGTTATTCACAAGTGTACATACAGCGAGAAAGCAATGACATGAAAAAGGTGTGACTGTAAAGTGAGGATATTTTTCTCTGGTAAGAGAGGCCTCATAAAAGTCAAGTAAAGAGATGTGATCAAATTTTTCTATTACAACTCTATACATCCTTCTAAAAATTCACAGGTAATATATTTATGTCATCTGAAAATACAATTCCAACTATACAAAAAATTGGATGATTTTTTCAGCAATCTTGAAATCTGTTGTCAAATCTCTTTATCAAAACAGAAAGCAAGGCTGCACATTTTTTTGCTGTTCACAAGACTGTGTTTAGCCAAAGTATCAGAATGCATAAAATTATTTGCCATAACTTGAGTAGGCACTGGACTGAGTCTTCCCTATGGGTTTCAACTCAGCACTGATTGCAAACCAGCGATGGGTTATTTTTGAGCAATGGGTGCATGCTGATGCTGGGCTGGGCTGCTAAACGGGGCAGAGCTGCCACTGTGATGGCATAGGGCAGGGGGTGGCCATGCTGAGAACTATGCTGGGCCGTGGCTTGGACACACCTGGTATAAAGCTTCATCACAGTTAGTATTTCTGGAATAGGAAAGTAATGAGAATTCTCCCTTCAGTTGCCAAGTATACAATTTAAAAGAGTCTTTGAAAAGACAACCAGGTTTTGGCTCTCTCTTCAAAATCTAAAACCAAAGAAAGATAAGGAAAATCAATTGGAGAAGGTCCATCAATAATTGGAAGACTAAGTAAATGGAAATCAGAGATAATACTATGAAAACAGGAGAAAAAATATGAAATGACAGGCTCAGAAACGACAGCTGCCCAGCAACTGCTGTGTAAAAACTACGTTTTTACTAGACAAAGCTCCTCTGCCTCTTTATAATTCAGGAAAGATCAGTGTGTTGTTATCAATATAGCAGAATTTGAAAAATAAATTTTGGTGGAGATCATCATTAGCACTTTCTGTTTGTTAGAAGGGTATTATAACAGCTGTTTTTCTCCCCAAAGGCAGCTGGCTGGTGATATTATTTTTCAATTAATGGCACTACACTATGAATAGATTACAGCATGTAGACATGAAAACAGTGACAATTAGTTGAAGAAATTAAGCAATGCAACAAAGCAGGTTTTGGTTTCCATTTAATTGGAGGGTAGGGAAAGTCAGAGATGCAATAAAGCTTTTCTGGACACAGCAAAATTGGTATGCTGAAGGCTCTCAGAACAATCCAAGGCAGACTGGATGAATGAATACAATAAAAACCAGAACTGGGAAAGCATAGGGAGTGGAAAGTAAAGATGCAAAAGACTTGAACAGTGTTGAGAAAGTCTATGGAGAATTTTTAATTCTTAAATAAGAATGTAATATTGCATTGAATCCTTTAGTAGATTTATATCTTTTAGAATTGAATTTCTGTCATTTTATTCTTATAACACTAAGCATTAAGCAACACTATAGCACTAAGGCAAGCTTTGTAAATTCTGCACTTAGTTGAGCGTGAAAGTTAAGTTTTTCAGTTTTGCCTTCCAAAATACAGTAGAAAAAGAGATGATACAAACGGGAAAAAACATTTTAAAGAAGAACACCATACTGCAGTGCTGTCTGGCTCAAAATGATGAACTTCACTTCCTATTTTAAATTGCATTTCATCATAACTGCAGAAGATTTATCTGAATCTGCCTAATTAGGTTGTTACATGAGAACAGAATAGTTGAATTGGAAAGAACTTCAAAAGATCACTGAGTCCAACTTCAGGGCTGATCAAAAGCTGAAGCATATTATTGAAGGCATTATCCAAATGTCTCTTGATCAATGACAGGCAAGGGACATCAACGACCTCTGGAAAGCCTGTTACAGAGTTTGACCACCATCAGGATAAAGGAATTCTCCCAGTGTCCAATCTAATCCTCTATGGTGCAGCTTTGTGCCATTCCCACCCTGCCACTGGTTCTCAGGAGTAGAAGCTGGCACTTCTTTCTGCTTCCCTTCATCAGACTGCTGCAGCGAGCAGGGAGGTTGCCTCCTGGCCCCCTCTTCTCCAGTCTGAAAGAAGTAGCCTCAGCCCCTTCCAACAGGACATGCCTTCCAGCCCTATTACCAGCTTTGGTGCCCTCTTCTCAATGCTTTCAAGCATCTTAATGTGATTTTAATGTCATAGAGTCCAGAACTGCACACAATACTCTAGGCCACACTGATGCTAAATAATAGCAGGATAATCACCTATTTTGACCAGCTGGTCATGTTCTGAACAATGCACTCCAAAATGCAGTTTGTTCCTTGTCTGCCAGGGCACACTGCTGGCCCAGGCTGAATCAGATAGTGTTAAAGCATGTTCTCCTCTATCATAAGACAAAGATCAATTCACATAGATAAAACAACTCTACCTCTGTGTGCACACTATTATGTTTTAAACATCACAGAGAAACAGAATACTCCCAAACAAGCACAAGCAAGAATCAATTTAGAGTTCAGGTTTTCTTTCCCACTCCATCTTGCTCTGTTCTGTGCTCCTTTTCCATCAAAGAAGTAGGTGAAAACATTTAGTATGTACGTACAGAAAAATGTCAAGAGTTCCCATTTCAAGGACCCACACTCCATAATTCACAGCTTGTGGTAATGCAGTTTTTTCTTCCTTAAAGATGACATAATGGACCTCTATGGCTATGTTTTATATATGCCCTCACACTGTACACATTTATTGTTACACTTTCTTGCCCTGGATCATAAAGTCATGAAAACTCCCACAGTGAATTGAGGACCTGTGATATTGCAACCCTGGTGTTTCTACATTAGCTCAAATTTTCTTTGTTTTTACTGAACATATTCTTGAAGATGGTGAAATAGATTAATTTCCACCAGATTATTACCACACTAAGTCCCTCCACTTAAACCTTTAAATCGAAATGATAATATTTAGGAATAATCACCTGATAAGTAATTACCCATGTACGAAAAAGAGCCCCACCAAATAGTGTGGGAACACAAAACTGCTGTCACAGAGAAGTCAGGTAGTACCCTTTGCTTTTCAGCATCTAACAGAATGTGTCCTTGGAGAATGTTTTTATATCATATGAGATGCAGAGAGGGACAAGGTCCCATCTGGTATCTATATCCCAACTGGGAGGCAGGTTCATTGGGATTTTTCAAGAGAATGGTTTTCCTCATAAAGTGTCCAATCACCATTTTGTACTTACTGTACATCTTACACTGTCCATGTAAATGAAAAAAGGAGGAAATGTTTAAACATTATTGAAAAGCTGTAGGAAGCTTCAATCTGCTAATTCTCCCGCCCAGATTCACTGTCTTTTCTCCCCCTTCCCTCTGCATTTAAAGGTCACAGACAGCCGTCTCTTGCACCTAACAGTATCCTTTCTCTTCAAGTCAGCTGCTGGTAGAGAACTCTTTCTTTACTACCAGTACCTAAGCATCCCTGTCACTGAGCTCTGAAAGACGGTCAGTCACCAAAGGACATTTGCTCTTTCTAGAATACAAAAGTTAGAGTTCAAGACAAGAAGTGGGAAAGATGCTGAGGAATCGGTCACTGGCGAGCATACTGTAGACATAGCACAGTACGAGACATGACAAGGCTCTTAACAAACTGGAGCCAACATCGTACAAATGCTGGCTGGTTATGATAAAGCCTCTGCCTTGGAAGACACTATGTGGTTCATGCTTCTCTAGAAAAGCAAGCTGGGGCTGCCATGGAAAGGAAATTCCTCACATTTTGCTTTATGGTATGAATTTCTGTGCACACTTCACATACCCTGCACAATTTTCTCTCAGCAGAGCATAGAAAGGTATCTTCTTTCAAGGCTAAAACTCAGTATGACTCAGAATACTTCAAAATTTCCAAGTAAACATATTGAAATATTCTTTAAGCTGGAGATGGAGAATTTCTACAAAGACAATAAAACATTCAAGCATTCTTAAGAATATTTACAGAACATGGCAAATTTTATTAATCATATTAGGCTAATCATTACAGAAACAGTTTTGATAATCACTTTTGTCACCAACATGATTCAAGCATTTTCTTAAATTGCTGACAAATACAAATACATAACTTTTCAAAAAAGATGCAGTTTGACTTACCGGAAAGTACAGAAGAAGTGATCCAAAAAGAATGGTTTCCAACAGCACCAGACCTGAAGCTCTGATACTCTAGAAAACAAAACAAACAAAAAATACAAAATATTAGAAAATTCCTATGTTAAATATTAATCAATACATTACATGGATACATTTTGAAACTGCTAAAATGGCTCTCAGTTGCGAGAAACTACAAATCATGGGAATCACAGATATGAATTTAACTGCACATTTCTTTCTGTGCTATTTAAATGTTAAGAAGTCCTTTGAACGCTCTGACCTACCTATTTAATATTAATGATTCGGCTTCCACAGCACGTATGAATAATCTACAATTTTATTGAATACACACTGTGCTCTTAGATTGAAAGCACCTTCATCTTTCCTGGAATTTTATACAAAGATGTATATATTTAGTCATTAACTTGTCAGGATTATAAAATATAGTGCCATTTCCTCACTGATTCTAATGCAGTCTCCATCATAGTTTTATTCCATTTTAAAATAAAAAAATCAATTCTTTTCCTTAATATAAAGCTTGCTCCATTGATGATTGATGTATAGTGCATCTGTACCTTATCTAAAAGACAAAACATCAACACCGCTTTCCATTTCTTTCCTTCCTCTGAGACAGTGTTTCATCCACTATTTTGGACTAATGCATTGCTTTCCTAACTGCAAGCAAAAGAGGCTTTGCCAAAAATCTTTTGAAAAATCCCCTTATTTCACATCATAAAATCCTCTCATGGACTGGAATCAATGGTCTGTGGTAATCTCTCTAATGAGTTTGGATGGGAGAAGTTTATCTTTCATTAGTAAGGCAATCATTAAAAAAACGATCTCTGTCTGAATGGATTTACAGATGCATTTTTGGTCCCCCAGGGTACAGTTTTCTGCTTGCAAAAATGGTGGAATTTTATAGATGGATCTTTTCAGTGAATCTGTAACCTGATTTCATATTTCAGCATTAACCTTTTTGACTGGACAATGTCTTTTGACCTTTACAGGTCTGATATATCAAATGTATGATGAAAGATCAGGAGAAAATTCTCAGAGACCCTTGCTAATATTAGACAGTTATGCAGCTATCTAATTTCTAGCAACAGTGATACTTAGTAGGGAAGGCTGTCTAACACTGGCACGTTGGCACAGACACCAGTGGTCTGATCTCCCACCTTGCTAAGAGTTAAATTTGGGACAAGTACCAGAAAGTGAGGAACATTTTAAGCCAGTTCCTTTCAGAATACAGCTCAGCTGTAATCCTCCCATGGAACAGGACATGGTTCTTTTTCTGAAGGTACTCTGTCATATCATCCATGTCCTGTGTTCTAGGGTACTGATGTTTGTGCTCTGTATGAAGTTAGCACTGAATTGTGTGTGCACACTACATTAGGAAACAGCCTGTGAAAAGCACACTGAAATGTTTATTTTCAGAAGGCTAAGAAACACAACACAGACTAAAGATTTAAAATCCTTTTGATTTTTTCCTTTTGTGACAGTGTAATGTAAGACTTGCACATATATTCAGTGCTCAGGATAAAAAAGAAAAGAGACCAGAGAGATTTTTGCATCCCCTCTGAGTAACAGTGCCTTGTTCTGTTTTCCTGATTTCTCATGCAAATTATTCCCCTCTGTATCAGAAAGAAATCTGCACATATGCTTCCCTGTTCTTTATTCCCCTCTATTAGAAAGTTCTGCCTAATGTCTCTTAAACTTCCTGTAGTGCATCTTTAATTGATTATTTCTAGTTCTGTCAGCCATGTCAAGTTCTGTCAGCCATACAAGTTACTTCCTTATTTTTCACAGGAATTTTTCATGTATTTGAGATGTATTATGGGTTCTCTTTTCTGGATTTTTCCAATTCTTTGATTTTTCGATGTAGGTCTTTACCTTGGACTTTCACACTGTGAGTTTCACAGTAAGGATTACAAAATTATTCTGCTACCTCACTCTAAAATTACACCCTGCACCTAAGACATAAATACTTCTAGCAAAATTTTATTAGAAGGTACATGCTTCCATGAAATGCTTCTTTAGAAAGCAAAGCAAAACAAAGAGGAGTACCACCAAATAGCTGAACTCCTATAATTATGTTTCCCAACAGGGTGCAATGCCTGCCATAACAATTGCTGAAATGTGAAAACCAATCCACATGCAGAGTTCATATGTGCACTTTCATCACTGGGCTCCTGTAATTCAAGGCATTTGCTACAAAAACCAAAAGTGAAGTCTGTTTTCTTTCCCCTTCTCAATGAATATATTATGATATTGGATAAACTGTAAACAAAATCCCAAATGCAAAGAGCTAGACAGTGGGAAACTGAAACACCAATGTCAGGTTTTTTAGGCTCACATATTTCAACTGTTCAATGACATATCAAATTAATTCAGCTGAGTTAGAACTCCATTTATTTCTGTCATTTGGATACATGGGGAGCCTCAGCCACAAGTCTGCTAATGGAAAAATGGTCCAGCACTCCCATACTGTATTTCTCCACGTGGAAGCATTGTCCTGCCTCATTTCATCTACTGGGATGTTCCACAGACAAAGTACACAAAGCACATATATCATCAGACAAAAAATGCCCCAAACAAAACGCACTGATTTGTATTCGCAAGACATTTGTTTGTTATAAGCATCTCAAAACAAAAAACAAAGAGCTGAAAGGATTATACTGTCTTTTATGGCTGCTGTAGTAAAATTGCTTATATATTCTATTATATGTATTCTCATTTATGTATTCAGATGCACTCAACTTATTCAGATGGCAAAATAAAAATCAATACATCTATACGACTTTTCAAGATTGTTGTCTGCAGACACTTCTGATGTAACAGCAAAAAGCTGGAAGTGAATGTTTAGTTGTCAGTTATGAAGCCATTAAATAAAATATTTTCAGGTTATTTAATTAAGAAGTGACTCTCAATTACTGTACAGCTTGAATGTTTGTGGCGAATGAATCACACACACTGCTATGGCACATAGAACAGAAATTGCATATATTTTTATAAACTATAAATGATAGTATGGTTAGCTGGCATTTCTAATTAATGCAAACTTCAGCATGAGCAAGACATAAAACTTCTGTGCAGCACACAAGAAAAAAAAAGATTAGAAAGTTTAGAAAAGATTAAAATTTGCCCCCGGTAACTTTGCAAACACTGGCACTAAAGGCACGGCTATAGGCAGCACCACAAAAACTTGTTTCTGTAGAACTCTAAAACATACATAGCAGCTCACAAGTATGCTCACAAAAGCCATGGAAAAAAACTTTAAAGGAAGCAAATTAAAGAATGGAACCAAATGGCATTCCATAGCCTCCACCATTCACTCTCCTATGCCATCTGCACAATTAAAAACCTCCCAGACATCAGGGCACTTTAGGACAGAGTCCAGTGGAATTTTCTTCCACTTGCATGTAACATCAGCTTCATCTCCCTTACCAGTTGCTCATTTGTTTGTTTTGTTTTGCATTTGCCTTGTTGACATTTATTTTGCTGTGTTGTTACTGTTTTTTTTATTTGTTTCTCTGGCTGTTCACCTTCTGTACAGTTTGTTTATTTGCTGTTTAGCTTGTTTGCTCATTTCCCGTGTTTACTTATTTGCATCAGAAAATTTGTCCTTTCTGTTTTTTCCCCATCTCAATGGTTGCATATTTCTGACATATAAGTTACACTGAAATATATTTTACTTCTACCATCATACTAATTTTTATACTTACCTTCAGTCATTTTTCACATTCTTTACATTTGTTTGCTTTTTAATTGAGATATTCGTGATAAAAAAAAAGATGTTATTTTAACTTGAATGAGGTTGACTGAACTAGGAATTATCTGCAATCCGGCCTTCATCTAGCAGTGGTGGAATCAAACAAGAAGGATGCAATTAAAATACTATGGCATGCATTATGATAAAGGTGAAAACTAGGTATGTATTGGCTTCTACCAGCTTTTTCATCGTGAGATGGAGTTTCTTAGAGAGCAGCTACTATTCTCAAATTCTGCAATGAACAATGAGACAATTCCAGCAAATCTAATGCAAGTTCTCAACCATGTGAGAAATCTAAGCAAACTGGCATCAGTTGTTTCATGTGAAGCTATCAAAAGAACCAGGTAGAAAAAAATGCAAGATTGAGTTAAATACATGATAGTAAATTCCAGCCAGCAACAAAGCAGTGTGAGGACATAGAGGCCCCTGGTTTGTTGGCTTCTTAACCTCTGAATCACTATGTCATGTTAGATCTACACAGAAAAACACTACACACAGTAATATGTTTTGCATCTGCATGTTAAATACTCCAAGAGGTTTGCAGAAAATCTGAGTGTAAGTGTGACTCGGCCAGTAGCACAGGCTCATAACTGATGACCTACCCTCACGTTACACAACCCCTGCAGGATGGATTGGCTCTCCAGATCCAAGAGGACAAGACAAGAAGTGTGGACAGGTGCTCAGGGATGTAGCTATGAACAGCTGAAACGCTGCTGACCATTTGCCTCTCTGTGTCTACTCAGAATTACATGACTGATGATTTAAAGTAGTTAAAAAGTTAAAAATATTCACAAAACCAAGATACGTTCCAGGTCACGAACAGCTCAGAGGTTAGTTATCACTCCTATGTGAGACGCAGGATTTGAGTGCAACTCTGCAACCCAGGCTGCTCAGTCATGCCAAGTGATGTCACACCACATGACGTAGCATGTTTCCTCTATAAATAAATTCAAGAGCTGCAATGAAACTGTCTTTGTAGGCTTCCCCTGGGAAGACAAGATCTAACAATGAGTCAAGGTTGCCCCATGGCAGATCCTTTCAGCTGGTCTATCAAGATACTGTGATGGAGAGGACACGGAGCCTGGGTCAAGGGCAGGGATAGCAAAGTCATGTTGCTAAGGTCTAAGCCAGTGAGAAGGGGGCCCTGCTGGGTTGGGGGGCAGTCCAAACACTGGGACAGTCAGAGATATTTTTCCTATTCACCATTCTGAATTAGAAAGACCAGGATTAAAGGCTGGCACATTACTTCTGTTCTCCTGTGAAGAAAACATAGCTGTGTTTCTGGAGCAGTTCTTTTACAGAA